ATTATATGACAAATGTGCGTGGACGATAACATGACCAACTTTCGAAGCTCGGAGGACCACTTGTTTGGTAGATGTGATACGCTGTAGAGGCGGCAGTGGTCTCTATTATTGGAAGGTTGAACTGCTGATTGAGTGAAACAAGTTCTGTTGCATCTGGCTCCACCATTTTGTATACAGGCCGAACAATAATTTCTCGGATTCGTGGCAACTGATTCATTGCAGTATAGAAACAACAGCATCATTCTTCATCACTCAACTAATTCGTACGAGCACTTTCCCTCCGAGAAGGCACACCCACTACACGACGCACTTGGTACACACAAATAATACACTAGTATACAAGCATTCAAAAGAAAATTTGTTTCCAAAACATCCTACCAGACTTTGGATCCCTTTTTGGAGTTTTAGAGTCTATATATTGTATAGCAAACCTTCCCTCTTACTTTTGGATAAATTACGTTAATAAAATATCACGTTGCATGCCCAGCATACTATGCAATAGACACGCATGAATAAGACAGAAGCATGCAAGCGGTTGAAAAGAAGGTTCGTTTCCAAATCGTCGTAAAAGCTGCATTCAAATCAACAGTGAATTTCCAATTCATTTTTAGAGTCTCTAGATTATGTACCAAACCTTACCACTTAACTTTGATGATTTCTGCAAAATACGCACTCCAATACTGAGGTCAGTCCCACATTAAGAAGATCTGCTCCACAAAGCCAAACTACAATCCTAAGTGAGAAGTTTGACCGAAGAAAAGTCACGGTTAAAATCGAGTTGTACGAAGCTCAACTTTTCTTGGACCTGATTCCCATTATCGAGGAAAAGATGACACGTAGCTAAGCTTGTGGGCTCTCGCCATATCTTTTCAGCTCAGTACGATGGGCATGCCGGCGAGAGCTCGTCCTTGTCTTATATCAGGTGCTTTATCAGTGCTTCTACAAGAATGTACAGACTCAGTCCGCCTGACGGGCGGAGAATCATACAAACTTCAAGTTACAGTACGAGACCACCTTGTGTGCAAGAATGGTACAGCATCCAGTACGCTTGCGTCTACGTCCCTGATTTTTGTCGGCCTCGCTTTACAGGAGATGAATAAATCGGAGTCCACATCCGACTGCAAATCCGTGACTCTTCACTTGGTCGGTCTGGGCTTTTGGTTTCAGCTGGCGCAAGTACCTTGCCTGGGGCCAAGTCCAGTCCGTGACTCCTCCTGTGACTCGAATGGGTATGGCTCAAAGCAGAATACAGGACAGCACTCGAAATCAGATCTGAGTGTCCAACCTGGCACCAATGACTGGAGATCGAAGTCAAGTGGGTCACTGAGTAACTGGGTGCACGAGATCCTGGTGCTGCAGGGATATTTCTGCTGTTTCGGCGCATTTTTGATTCGTGCCAGTGGAGGATGTCTGTGAAGTGCAATGGGCCCAGAGTCCAGAGTCCAGAGTCCAGAGTCGCTTGAAGCATGTGAATGGGTTTATAAAGTGTGCGATGTATTTGTTTCCACAGAGTAGCTGTGCTCTCGACGTCTGTAGTTCACAATAGTATGGGGTATAAATAATCCAAAGCCTATAGGCTGAAGTTAGGGAGCACGCCCACTTTCTGTTTTCGCCTCTGCATGGACTAGTGCCATCGGTGGACGTGAGCTCTACAATTGGCTGCGCCAACTCTGGACAGACTGATCTGACCTTCAGAAGGACCTGTTTTGAACGCCTCCTCTTGCATGTCATGAGTAATGAGTTTGACAAAAAGAGTGACAACTTCACAGGTCTGCTCATCACATCTTTGTCGTGACGAAAATAAACTTTGTCGCATTGTTCGAGTGGAGCCCGAATCTCTAGCCGAACTCTTATCTACAAACTGATGTCAATATCACAACATTCCCACAGGAAAAACTCATAAACAATTTGGATGTTCCAGCCAACAAAGTGCTAATTTGGAGGAGATGCCACTTGTGTGAAATTAGGTTCAGATTACGGATGTACTGTGTCTCTCATGATGCAGTTCCGTTCGTGTCTATGTGGATAGGATGTCTGATTACTTGTGTTGACCACGCTAAGATCTCCAGGGCCCTTGTTTTTCAAGGCTTTGACGAACTGCAAAACGATCAAAGGACTCGAGTACTATCGGATTATGGTAGAACAAGGACAATCATTTTACAAACGCCTCGTACTTACTACCGCCAAACAATCCGTTTTGATTCATTTTCCAGACGTCGGAATGCAGTCATGTGAAGTTGAGAACAGCGGAGAGCTGAACTGCGAGACCATAAAAAAGGCTGCACTACCACTAGGACGGCAAGGGTGGAGTTCGGTTCAATTGGAAGTGAAGGTGCGCTGAATTAGTCTGTCTACCTAGACTTGAGACTTGAGGTCCGCAACCAGCTCTGTGTCTTAGCGTGAACTGGTTTCCTGTGCCGCCAGTAGAAGAGAGCAACCGACCACGCCTACTCCTGCACGAAAAGCTCAACATTCAAAAATTCAACGTAGATGTAGTAGTTCTGAGTCCTACAAGCACATAGCGCGGGAGATTTTGTTTCTACGATTAGTGTCTTCCTTCACCGTGTGCTTTTTCAACGCCTCTGACACTACACCTGTCATTGACCTCAAAACCTCGTTCGACGAAATGTTATACTTTACTTCCTGACAGCGCATGGTTCATAATCATGGCTCGTTTTGACCTCGGAGCTAGCTCTTTCCGCAATCGTATGGCCTCTCGATTGTTCTCTCGATTTCGTCAACTTCTGTCAGTTTAGATCAGGCTTGAGCAGCAGCTGGTACTTCACTAGCCAGCCTTTAGTTGCATCTTCAGCTTTCGGACATATTTAAATTCAGAAGCTGAGCATGAGGACATGAGCACTTGAGCTTCCTAGCTGTTGATTTCAACTTCATCTGGGCGACATCTCTCTTTTGAGCTGTAAACTGTGAAAGTGTAAGAACGTATATAGTCTAAACTCGGTGCGAAATCAAGTTGTAATCACCTTGGTGTCTGTTAGCAAAATCTACATTGTCGCATCCACAGTCCAACATCTCGAATTGCCTCTCTAGCGTGGCCGGCATATTGAAGAATGCATGGCTCTATAGAAGATTCAGCTTTCCAATATTTCACATATCTGATTCGTGGATCATTCAGAACATTGGATGAGTAGTTATTCACATATCTTTTCAGTCATTGCTTGCAGCTTTGAAATCTAGACGATGACGATATGAAAAGTCCATCTGGAGACAATTTTTTGTTCATATAAATGGCTGTCCGGTCCATTTTATTCCTCTTCTTCACCCTGCTCTCTCTCTCTCTCTCCAGAAGAATAATAATCTCCTATACACGTTGTCAACCTCTGCTGACGGACAGACCAGATTGTTGATGGATTGAAAGCTTTGAAGGTTAAAGGTACGGAAAGAATGAGGATAGGCTGAGCGTACTCCGCCCAAACTCGACTGTGAAGAAAATTGAGAGTTGCAGGTAGCAAACAGCTGTTATCACACGCACATCGTACGAAGCGTGTAATGTTCTTCTTCGGATTCAGTTTAGGTGGAGTACCTCCTCGATGAATTATGGCTCTTCATTAGCTTTCATCGAGTCTGTGACAAAGTCTCGCGAAACAGGGGGATATGTTAGAAAGTGCTCCCATGCGCGAGTTACAGCCCTACTAGATACAGTGGTCAAGACTTCTCGGCCATGCTCAGGAAATTCAGTTTCAGTGAGATGTGTGCCTTCCTATCAGTGCAAGAAACACTTTTCTTTCGTACACTGCATAATCCGTACTTCCGATGTCCTATTCCTTGGGCCTGATTGGAACACTTCGCATCAGAGAAAGCTGAAATGAAGTGAAAAAATTTGCAGTTTTTGAGCTCATTAATTAGAGAGCCGTGCTACAAAGTTGTCAGCTTCTCTGAGTTTGGTCTGATAAGCATAATCTGCTTCAAGATCTTCGGAACAAAATCAGAAGCCGGAGAAGACCTTCTGGACGACAAAGTGTTTGCGTTCAGGGAAGTCAGAACGAGATTTGAGCTTGGTAAGCTGGAAGGACTTGTAAATCATACGCTTAGATTAGGTTTGCTCAGAAACCTCTGTCACCATGGATTCTTCTTACTTCTCCGTTGGTTTTACAAGATGAAAGCAAGGAAGAAGCTTCAGTTCCTCAATACAATGCTGCTCTTGCGCTGCCACGAATTGTTACAGTCCGAGATGCCACTCACCCCAGCGTCAAATTTGTGTCGCTTATCAAACCTCGATATAAGTTGTGAACCGGGGCTCTTGCCCACTATCACCGAACGTACAGCCTCGAGGAATAAGTCTCTTCTGACAGTCCAGTCTATGAGAACTTAGCAGAGCTTCAATCGTAAATTCTCGTCCGTGAAGTGACAACATTTACCCACTTGTGTAACAATGCAGATCTTCGGGGAACAGTTTCGTCCCTTACTTTGATCACTCCGATTATATACTCGAAAATCTCTAGAATGGCTGTGGAATGGAATCTGTGACCTTTATTTGACTTTGGAAATGGGAGGCATTGGGAGCCAGAGGTTATGTATCCCATAGAGTCGTCTACCCCTGACAGACGAACAATTGTTCATATTGACAGAGGTTCACGTCTTGTCACGTGAACAATTCTGTATCAAATCCCCAACGATGGACGTCAGACACAACATGACCCAAAGTCCAGTATTGAACGCTTCAGATTCTGTTGTATCGTCATACAGTTTTAGCAGTCACCAGGGCAGACTTAGATGCGTGATTGCAAAAAACTGCTCATTGTCATTACCATAATCGTCGTATGTGTGTGCAGTGCCCATCTACCTGCATCCTTTCCCACAGTTATCTTCATTCCCCGTAAGACGGGTCAGTAAAAGGTGAAAGCTTTCGGTCTGATAAGGAGTTTTGAAGGTCACAGGAAGCGAGTTCTGCACTTCATGCTACAATGTGATGAGGTACATTGAATGCCATGACTTCATTGTTTTCTGACAACAGTTTTGACTTGACAACGTTCTTCCATTGTTCTTGTATATGTATAGAAACTCGTTTACACTCATTCTGTCTCTTGCAAGGACATACGCTCCGAAGCTCACTATCACCTAGGGATGCCAAAGGTTGACCGTCATCCTTGTGAGAATTACCCAGTTGTGCTACTCCCTACTAACAGAGGCGAATGCAGCTATTTCCGAATTTTGCAGCAGTGGTATTCTAATTAGGATTTGGTTTTTCACTCTATCCCCATAGCACATGTGCGGAGGCAATATAGCGCCCTGGCGCTTCCCTACGCTTCTCGAACTTGCGGTGAGATCGATACAATTCTCCGTCACCTTCATGAAGTAACGATTCTCAGATGATTAGATTTACATTTGACTCCTCACAATTCAGTTACAAACCTACCTCCAGAACAGATTTCTGGGCCCCGTGTTTCACTGCAGGAAACTGGTTCGAACTAAAAAGTGTGCCGGTTAAAAGCTTCTGAAAGGGAAAATGCGTCTTCAAGTGCAAGTCGTGATGTTTTTCCAAAGACGATGCTTGACAGAACAACTACTAATCATGAAAAGAATCAAAATTGAGCTCGAAGTGTCCACATATTTCCAATATGAAGTGCTATCTATCGAACTCTGACATAGATCTGTACTAGCACAAAACTGCTATGAAGGTGACAACCTCTGTCGTAGTGCCCTTGGAGTCATCGAGTCATCCAAGAAAGTTCTTGGGGGACTAGTGATCGAGAACAGGACGAGATAGGCAGGAGGTATGTAGGTATTCTAGTCGATATTACTTTAAGTAATTCTACAAACTGGAGACCACTTCAATTGTGTGAGAGGTTAGAGTGGTTGTGTTGGTGAAGCAGAAGTCTCCTTTGAATTGCTGACCTGGAAAGTTACAGTACGTTACGTGTTAGTAGCTATACTAAGATACTCGTTGAGCATGTTGCCAAAGGATCTTAGAAGCCTGCTAGGACCATCACCATGCCCACGGATGTACAAAGACAAGGTTCTTAATGGAAGAGAAATCAATTCTACAGTAACAATTAGCTGTTACAAATATCGAAAAGCTCTGCTTGTTAAAGAACAATTACAGGACAAAAAACTGAATTTAGTTTCAAATACGACGATATAAACTGAAGACTGAAACCAGGTTCGAATGGCAAATGTGGGTACAAATGCTACATCGGCATATGGAGTTTTTTCCTCGTGGATCTAAGTTCAATGAACAGTTGATTCAAAGTTGAGAAAAAAATCATATTACAAGAACGTGAGTCTTCAAAGTTTCGATTTATACCTGCCAGTAAAAGTGGATACCAGAGGGGGTCGTCTGACCACATTACATCTGAAACATAAGCACATTTTCTTAGCAACTGACCAGGCTAGACTATTTGGAGGTGGGTAGAAACCCAACACGGCTGCAGCGGTGTTATGGTGCATAAACTGAGAGGGAAGTGTCATAAGGATATGAACAAGAGTAGAACCTGTAGGATCACGAAGTTAGGTAATTCAAGTTGCAGGAATGGGAGCAGAAGCGCATAACACGACCAGACTTTGTAGCTGACCGGACAAGATATGATGAAGAGGACTGGCATCACTGACTCGCATGGATGACTCGCTTTAGACCTACGAAGATTCAAAGGATACTTTACAATGCCCGTCTGTAGACGAGAGGAACACAGATATAAGCCACTCACCGTAAGGTATATCGGCAACAGAAAACCAAGTTGGAGCCATTTCATCAGTTTCGCAAGGCTCCCCAAGAAATTTAGTTGCATAATACACATGGACCTGTAATCGACAAAATGAAATTCACCATCTGTATTAGGACAGCAAAGAGGACCTCACATTCTTCCCTGAAATGAAGCTGTTAGCTGTAGTTCTATATATACTCGATTCACGTACTCTCGCAACAACTACACCATCCCTTCGCAAGGTATCAAAGAATTAAAAAGCAAGAGGTGAGTGCGAAGAGTAGCAGCTGCAGTGTGGAACTCTTGCAGTACATGCTTCATCAATATTTCAAGCTTTTTGCTCGGCTTATCTCAATCTGCTGACAAATAAGGGCACCAAGGTTCTAAAACTTACCTCCCAGGCAAGTGGATCATTGTCGAAATGGAACGTCAAAATGCCGCGCTTTTCCATATCCGTAGCAGTGACTCCCGATTCTTCTTGTAGCTGCTTGAGCAAACAACTCACAAATTTCTTCTCAGAAATACTTGATATCCCGCTCATCAGAATTTTCGATGTCAATATTGTGCAGACGAATAGTACATAGGAGTTCGTTGGAAACTTTACCTCTCTTGCAGCAGCCTGATCAATCGTCTCTCCTTTCTCGACCTTCCCACCAAAGCCATTGTAATATCCTTTGCCAAATCTGCAACCATGAACATGAATTAGAAACAACTCAAAAAGTGTTGAATAATTAATCTCCTGATTCTCAAGGGCGGCAGCTAGCCATAGATTCCATGATTGATTGAGATCTTTGTTTGGAATGACGAAACATTTGGGCGATTATATTGGAGAGCTGGTTGCGACAAGAAGGCTTACCCTCGCTTCTTCAATCCTAGAAGCACCTTGCCATCGCTGTGAATGATGACAAGTGTGAGCAACTTCCGGGCAGTGGACTCTTTCTGCACAGGTTCCTCAACAACTGTTGAAGTGATACTCTGTTTCACCGCTTCACGATCGTCTACAGTCATGGACATCGCCGCGGAAGAATATTTTCTCAAACCCGCTCCACTAAGTTCACGTACTCTTGGGCTTCCCCCAATTATATGGGGGAGGGCGCAACTCGAATTTCTTGTCGACAAATTTGACCTTGGAGCCCAAGACAATGCAACAACTGTCTTTAGCTCCAAGTCCCAAGCAATATAACGTGAAACCTTAGGTAATTTCCGCAATACTAGACGCGAGAGCAACACCATGTGAGCGATTTCTGCACAATGGAAGATAAGCAATTTCCTTGTCAGATCCAATACGGAATCGACCGACGGATTGAGGAACAATATGAATCACTGTGTGGAGTTTGACTCTATAGATGAGCGTAATAAAACTGCCGGATGAATGACTCAGAAGAATTGACATCACGGGAATTAATGTCGTAGAATAGCATCGAAGTGTAGGGGCTACATGACAGCTTACAGTTCGGCAAAATTTTAAGCACATTACAGGTAGAAACCACCCATGCTCTGCTCAACGACATCAGAGTATGTTACTGTGCAATACTATACAGACACCTCTCACGCTTTAACCCTGACACCAGTGCAACTTTCGAGAATAATCCCCTTAGAGTGACTAGAAATTTGTCTCGAAATACCCTGCGAAACTTCATAAAAGGAACGCAGAATTCTTTGAAAGAAAAGAATCATCGTCCTACCGATTTCACAGCATTATCATGACCGAACGTGCTCTATCGACTCCAACGTGAATACAAACCAAAGTGACTTAGATTCTCTCGTTCACTTTGAGATTTCTGGTGTTTCCTTCCTATCTCATCACACCGTCAGAGAAAGAAAAGGGTACAGATGCCCGAGCATCCACACAATCCTCTGACAACAGGTGCCAGAGGCGTTTGTTAGATCCTTGCTCGCACATCACAATCTTCATATACATTATACATGCAGCTCAGCAGCTGCCAGGAACCACATTTTCAAAGCCTTCCAACGAGTCATAAGAAAGTGCAGCTCTATTGAGTGTTATACATTCAACTTTCGTTAGTAGTCATATTTTCTGCAAGTGGGTGGGAGTGATAGTCCAGGGGCAATCAAATAGAATTCAATCTTCCAAAAATACTATGCTCATATTGGAAGGGAGGGAAATCTGAGATGCAGTTTGTTTCCTTCTTCCAGTTGCAGGAGAGATTCATCTTATTGCGTCTGTACAGCAAAGCTTGGTACACCCGTTTGGTACCTTCATTCCTTTTCGAATCAGGGTGGGGCAAAGTGATTAGCAAAAGGGATGGGAAGACCCTTTCAACCCAAACAATGGTAATATAATTTCGTAGATAGCTCGTAGTGCGGTTCTGTTTTCTGTGTCATATGGCCAGTTTGGCTCTGGCATGTGGTACAAACACAGGAATCACATTTCTCTAGTACATTATGAATCGAAACTTTCCAAAACTTCCTGCACTTCATTCATACCTTCTATCCTCCAGAGTATCACATTGTTTCTCTTGTCTCATTTCCAGTACCTCGCTCTCCTAAGATTGAAAAAATCCTTCTCGTTAGTCAAAATTAAGATACACATTTTGAGTCCTGCTTTCTCATACACCTATATCTCGACGAATAATCACATTGGAGTTCAAGAGATTCCTCATGGGCATCAAACAACAATCCTTGAAGTGAAACTACTTGGGTAACTAGAAGTTCACCTCATTGCTTCTTAAAAGTATCTTTCCCGGATATGATATGATCAACTTTTCTGCAACATATGCTAAATCAGGTTGGATGTGCGCCATAAATTCTACCATGCTTCATTATCAATCTCCAACATCATGACTTTTATAATTGACTCTGTGAGGATCATATAGCAAGAAGTCCCTTCACATGATTAGCCAACAAATTATTCACATCGTTTACTCTTGACTTTGACAAGCCATTTTTCTGCATACTTTTCAATGGATATTCCAATAATAAATTCTTCAATCACAAGTTTCCATACATATTATTTTTTTCCAAATATCGCAATTTCATTTTTGAGGTTTGAGAAGAATTGATATTTGAAAACTATTAATACATTCTGTTCTATGAAATTAAAACAATGGGTTATAATAGTATTTGTGATCATGTAGTGTATATTGTCTATGACAATAGTTCATGAACATTTGTACAATAAATATCATAATCATGTGACATAATCAAAATAATTAGTGAAATAAATATTTATTCATGATGAATCTTTCTAAGTCCTCATGGTTCTATATATCTTTGTAGGTTTTCATTTTACATAATTTTTTCAATTAAAAATGGAAGTTGATTGTATCTTCAATCCCTTGGAATCTGTAATATAGATATTTTGGAATGAGATTAAAGTCTCAATTTTTATCTCTCAAGGTTAGTATTTTTCTACTTTTTCATCCTCCTATGCAAAAGACCTAAAGTTTATAACTTTCAACTTTATCTTTATCTCTATATTTTTTTCCTCAAAGTTTTTTCATTTCGGCCATGATTCCACATACGCATCTTGCCGTTGATGCGGGTAACTATTTTGGATACTGCAGTCAATCTATATCAATTAATGTTTTTATACACTCACATTAATACAATGTAAAAAAAATAATTGTCTAACATCCCAAACTAGATATCACAACAGATGAAATATGTGCTATCAGAGTTTTAAAACATAAAAATCTATTGAATATTATAAATTGTCATATTTTTACATATGTGTTGATACAAATCGAAATAAAAAATCCGGAATTCAAATATATCCTACATTCAGTGTATGATAAAATTCATAGGGAGTTTAGGTAATATCTTTGAATTTTTCACGCAAATTTTAATTTTTGCATCACAAATAGTTAGAAAGTAAAACTGATATTTTTTATTAACAAACATGAACAGTTCGAGATCCAGTCTCAAGAACTAAGTTATATCATAATTTTTTTGTTATTATATGATAGAGGAAGATAACTCATTATTACTATTCATTATTGTAAATACATTCCCAAAAATTTAATAAAAAGACAAGGTTTTATTTTCGCCATCCATTTCACTCTTGGCATATGGATACCATGAAAAATATATTTAAGAAGCACTTTCATAACCAACGTGTAATTTTCATCTAACACATTTCATATGAAGTAAAAAACTTCAAAGTTGTTGATGCAACTTCTATAGATAATTTGATTGAATTTATTTTTATTTTCATAAAAAGGACCTTATTTATAAGTAAAGATGATTATCTACTAAGAATTATTATCGAATTGACATAAAAATGTAAATTATTATTTAACTTACAAACTAATTCAATGAAGATGTCACATTATTGCAGAGTACTATAATTAAAGAGATATTGGAAAATTATAATTGATAAATATTTTGTGTACATAGCCAACTGCACTCTACAAAGCTATGAGCAAACATTACGGGCGAATGTTTTGGTTAGGCTTCTACTGAACCAAAACAACGGTGTATAATTCTAGTCTGAAATCATTTTACTAAACCTTTATTATCATCCATAGGTCGATCCCGTAAAACCAAATCCAAAATTAATCAAAAAATGTCTTTTTTCAATATTCCAAAAATTATACAAATTGGCGTGTACATGATGACGAGCACTTTTCATAGATATAAAACCATAAGTACTGCACCTTTGCGTACTGCAGATATAAGGTGGAGTGAGGTTGCAAACCTTCCACCGCGATGGTTGGCGTGATTATTACATACAACTCAGATTCACAGTGACGACGTATATTCCTCGACACAGGAGTTATGATCAACCCATCGTTTTTCTGTTGCCAGCCGAGCTTTATAACAGACCGACGTCTCGCTTTGCAATCCACAAAGTCTCCCGGACGTATTTTCCTCGACACAGGACTTATAATCAATCCATCGTTTTTCTGTTGCCAGCCGAGCTTTATAACGGAGCCGGCGTCTCGCTTTGTAATTCACAAAGTCTCCTGGAGTTGTGGCGAATGGCAAGTCGAGATAACGAATTGCAAATGGAGAGCAATCGCAGTTCAGTCTATCATCGTCTGCTTGGGCTGGTGTCTGCTCGTGGACTGGTGAATGCAGATTGTTTTGTCCTGCTGTCCATTGGAATCTTATTTTCGTCCTATGACGATGTGGCTAAAAGTTGAATACTTGTGGAGTAAAGATCTCATCAGCTGGACATAGTTCAGAATCTCTTCAACAGAACTGGATCTTTTGTTCAGGTCGATGCTGACTTGACATCAAGTCCAAACGGGGGGCTCTCGAAGATCGAAGACAGCGGGAATTCACAAGTGGCGACAGGAATTTGTCCGTGTCGCACAGGTTGGGTTCGGAACGGATGCAGATGTAAGAATAGGTGAGCGGACAAACTACAATTGCAAGAGTGGGCCATGACGCGGAAATGCATGGCATCATCTTAGCATACAAGTACAGGGCACCGAAGATAGTAGCCGAGCGCGGTGTTGGTCCTCTTTTGGGATTTATGTGAGTTTGGGGTACCGATCTCTTTATGATATCAGAGTGCATGTTTAAAACGATACTCTCCTATCGTCTCCGGCGCAATATTATGGAATTCTCTTCGTCTCTGGATTGTGATGGATGTTCCGAATGTTGCGTTCGTTGGGATCAAAGAGACGCTTCCCTGCTCCATGCTTTGAACCTGATCTCTGGTCTGTGGTAGATACAGGTACTCCCCATGCCCCATCTGAGCACATTACGTCATGAGGAGTTGTGATGAAGTTCTAGCCAGCCGTGCTCGTCGAGAGATCAGAAGTCACTTCTCTGGACCTTCAAAATCACGCTTTCCGTCCGAACAATGACAAAATCAGATTCATTTTTACCTTTGTGCCATGTCAATCAAAGCCCCGAAGAAAGACTTCGATGTGCTCTGCGGAACGGCACCATCGGACTTGGAAACAGAACATCGGACTTAGAAACAGAACATCTCGATCTCGTTCAACCTGTCCGTCCTCTTCTTATCATCAGCTCGTACATATTATGCGGAGTTCTGCTTCGTGGCAGCGTTAGTTTCACAGTGCTAGTGGCTCTGAGAAACAGCATCATATTTCCATGTGGCAGAACTGAGCTGGCTGTCCCACGCACCTGGGCCTGCAGATGGGCCTGCAGATGTCACTGCACGCGTCATGCTCCTTCTTGGGAACCAATTCGCTTTTCAAGTCTCTGAACTGTAACTTTTACTTGGACATGGGATCCGTGAGTAGCACCGTTTATACCACCACTACTCTGTTGACAAATCTCTTTGTGACCAGGGCTTTGAAGACCAATCACATCGTAACCAGGCATCGGATTGCTCACTTGGCTAAAGTCACCATCCAAGATACAGCTCTCGATAAATTTGCTGTTTTTTGTTTTTTGTTGTAGGTTTTGATGGATGGTTTCAGAAAATCTGCGAGACGAAGTATACTCATATGGTCATGTGAATGACTTCACTCATAACTGGTGAATGACTTCACCAGTTATGAGGTTAGGCGATGGAAACAGGTGAATATATTCATCAGTAATGCGAAACTTACATAAAGTCTATAAGAGTAAGTGAAGATTATCGAAGATTGTACTATTCCAGATTCATGTGCGAGGCAGCCACGGATTCAAGAGTATGCCCGATATGTTAAAATGACGTTCATCATACTGACATGATGATATGTCATCAATATGCTCAACAGCTCAGACTTGAATGGAACGCTCAATGAGCAACCTCTCGTTTTGAAGTGCTTTGTTACTTGATCATTCTCTGGATCCAGGACAGCGATCTTATAAATCAATGTTGTTGTTTTTACGACTATCTATTACGACTATCATCGAACTTTTAAGTTTAGATCTTCTGGACTTTGGCATGCGACCTATATGATCTACATTTTCCACACGAGGAATCATTTCATCACATTAATCTCACCATGCATCGCCCATTGATTGCCCTCGTCGACATCCTGATGAGCAAAGGACGGTTCTGTAAAGCTGAACTCCTAAAATACTGGTAAGTCATTCGACAAGTTCCAATGAAAAGCTAGTGGAGGATCAGGGTTTCGTCGCACATCATCTCAAGAGCTGGACGGGCAAGGGTTAACTCACCTGCTTTTGACTTTCTGGTGAACCTGCTCAACCTTCACTCCTCGGCGTAGGATGACCCAAACAACCTACAGATAATGTGCAATGTAAAGCAATGAGGATACAACATTCTCTCTTCTTGCAGTGAATCTATGAAGAGGTTGACTTATCTCCGTTTGGCCATAAACCTCCGAACTCAGCACCAGGTGGTATCAAGTGCTTCTTATCTTGTTGGATTTGCATATGCTCGTCACTAATATCTTATGAGACTGATGACTATCTCTTACCACTGTCATTTTATCTGCGCCCTTCACCAAAAGCATTTCACCAGGTATTGCGCTAGCTAAGCTTGTGGCTCCATGAAGAGGACCCCCAAGGTAACAACCCCCAAGGTATCCTATGATAGCTGTTACAATAAATAAGAGTAACGTGACCACTCCAAGACACCAATATACTTCACAAAGCCTTTCAGCCGTACATTTCATTAAAAGTTCTCATCCTGCTGCAGTAATTGATCGGATAGCACAGAATCTTTTACACTAACACTTGAGGCACCTCCGGGTGTGTTCATCTTGATATATGCATACAGTACCTGTATCTCAGACTTGAGCTACTAAGATACCCTAAAACTGAAGTTACATGAGGCAGGTAGCCCTAACGTGGCGAGTAAATCTAACTGATAGTTAGAGCTTACGTAGAGGTGTGAAACTTCTTTGAGTTAGTATCATTTCAGAATCATAATACACGAACGAGGACGCAGGTATTGGAATAGCAGCACACAAGATATTGGAATAATGTTATGTAGTTAAAGTTCTGTAGTTACGATTTGTTTCTCCATAGTCTTGAGATATAGAGCGAGGCAGATCAGAAGAGTCATTGCAGTTCAACTACTCACACCGGCGTCCTGCTTGGCACGAAGCCTGAGTATTAAGCACTCTTATCGTAAGGCATGTGGTGCAGTGATTCTGACCAGTGAACAGAAAAGAAAGTTCTAAAACTTTTGTGAAAACTCATCAGGCTATGTATACATCGCGGCTATTCAATTTGTCGATGTAAACTCGGAGAAACGAGGCTGGCGTTTTTTGACGATCCACTATCACGGGGATGCATCAGTTGAATCGTTTCAAACTCAAGATATCAACTAAACAATTATGACCCCGATAGCTTCGAGTGACGAGATTGCCTGCCACCCAATTCCTCTCAATCACTGCAAAACCCAACAAGGTCATCCTTCTTCAACTGAAACAGAACTGCACGCGTTCGGGGACTATCTCTGAAGATTGTGGAAGTCCTGTGATCGATTGCCTGCTGACTGGAAATAGAAGCTATAGAACGGACTTAGTTTCCATGTCCGACCATGTATGAGTCAAGCCTTTCAGATGGAAAGAAGTCCGGTGGGTGTATCTTTCTTCCAAAGATCCACGGAATTTCGCACCGCTGCGTTTGTCCGGAACCATATCAGGCGTAGGACCGAGCAGAATCAAGCTCACCATTGCATAATCTGAAGGCATGCTTTTTGTACGGAGAAATCAGCAACGACGAGAGTGAGAAGCTGTAAGTGGACTGATGATCCCGTAGCTCATGATTCTCAAGATCTTAACTACACACTTGCTACAAGGTTTGTGGAAACCGATCCATTCGTGACTAAATTTTGGAGTTGGAATAGTACAGTACTTTCCATCACATCGGAGTCTAATAATCTGAGAAGTGGAAAGGAATGGCAGTACGTCGGATCTGTTTCGACTTCGACGCAGATGAATAGATGGTCGTCATGGATGAATCTTCGCTTGCCGAGATAAGAGCGCGTCTCAAACATCATCACCGTGCATCAGACTTCTACATCCTTGGGATTGTCAGGTTGCACTTCTAGTCTGAGGGAGGTGCAAGTAGAAGTTTACGCGGTGAATCCCTCGCTCCACTTGGTTCTTGGCAAAGCAAGCAACTCGACCCTGGCGGACAAACATCAGTGGCGTGTGGCATCTCTCTGCAAGCTGCAGCAGCAAACATGTGAAACAGCAGAGTTATGATTCTGGCGTTTGCGTTCAAGCTCCTGCTCGCACCTGGACCTGCACTGGGCCTCGTGCGTTTCATGAACAGCGCTCATGATGTTTCTGTCATAATTCTCAACAAAAGCAATGAATTTTCTGTGTGGAAAGTTTTGGTCCTGATCAGTTCGTTGACATGGATTTCATAAGCAAATCAGCTTCTACAGCCACAATTCCACCGACCAATCTCATTACTGTCTAGGATAGGTGGAGAAACGCGATCATAACAAGCCAGCTCTTTGCAGACTTCGTCAACGCTTCCATTATCGATAACCCTTTGCGTGATGTATGTGGTCGTCGTTTTATATCTGCTCTGAGTTCTCTATGCAAGCGTTGACTGATCCTGTAGATCCCTTTCGGCCGGCACCAAAGGCTCTTGAACGACCTCACCAATCTTGTCAGAATCGTCGACATGTATAAGTGTCTTGAGACTACATATGGAGGAAAATGACATGAATGTACAGGATTGCTATAAATTGCAAGATTTAGCTTTGGATATCTTACTCCTTCGTAGATGGTACTGGTTGTTCTTTTGGCCATGACCAGCCATTCAATAATTGCGTCTTACTGTTCGGCCGTAAATGGGTTCTGTGGACTTGGGAAATTGGTATTCAGTCTTGCAGGGTGCGGGAATGAGAGAGAATATGATCTAATTCTGTTGCCTTCTGTCCCTGAGGCTCTTGGGCTCTGAACACAAAATTTTACAAGCTTCTTGATTGAAGAAATCTGTCCTGTAGCGAATAATAGGAAAATGCATGCCTAATTGCGAGGCTGACGTCGAGATATCTTCACTACCAATAGCTACCCATTACAACGAAAATGTCAAAATTCACAAGCTTAATATGGCAGATATCACCACCGGGACTGTAGTTTTCAAGGCGTCCAGGAATATATGGAGTGTTTCCGTCTGAAGTTAGCTTTACTGTACATACAGGCAATTAGTCTCAGCAGAAAACATCCCCCAGCAGCAAAGAAATCAATCAAAGTGCATTCTATAATTTGTGATTGTTCGTCCAATCTACCCAACTCTACCCAATTCTTGGTCTATGCTGACTTTCAGCAGGATAGCCCCTTTGAGTACCCTTGGAAGTAACCTCTGTATACAGTGCTACAGCAGGTGGATCTTGTTATGGTATTGTCTGGACTTGATGATGTTTGTACAAGCCAGGGCAGAGCTTACAAGCACCTCCTCGAAGTCACGGGTACGACCACATCGACGACTTGATCACGAGAAGTCTTACGCTATGCATATTGGCATATATCGCTCTGCATGTCACATCGATGTGATCAGTTTTTTTGGTTTGGATAAAGCATTGTTCCTGTTCTTGAACACTTTTCCGCACCTACTCTCTCCGTGACTTTCAAAGTTTTTTCGTCTAGAGTAGCCTGGTCACTGCACACTAGTGCTCATCCTCATTGCAGATGGTAAGGTGTACGTGGAAAGCAACAGCAGAACTGGTCCAGAAGTCACATCGTGGATGGTTATTTGGCACCCCATGGGCCTGAATAAGTGAATAAGACGTTCCATGCATCTACACAAAGTCTACATGGTCGAATAAGCTCGTCTTCTATACTTGCCACAAGCTCAAATGTGGATTAGATTAGGCAAGTTAATTAAGAGTTATGCTTGACAGTCAAGCGCTGTGCACTGCATCCCATCATCCTCACGTGATACTGTAATCAGTCAGATTGTCTGTCGTGTAGAATGAAAATAGGGAACGTTGCCCTTGAAGCCAGCCACCTCGAATATCCCTAGAGACTTGCGAAGTAATTGATTGTCGTAGGGAGTAGATCAGGCTTCTTCTTGAGATTACCCGTTACCCCTACTAGACGCTTATCTGCAGCTGGAAGGAGTGAACATGTGTTGCAGGTCAGGCGAAGTCTGGCTCTGCAAGAAACGAACATGGATGGAATTCGTGAAGGAACTGTAGCTAGACCAGATTAAGCGGGAGATCCACCACCTGGGAGATGGAAGTTGACGAATCAACAGCAAGGGAGGAATGGACGTTGTACAAGCAATCTGTACGTGACCAGACCATCTCTTCCTAACAAGGTTCAGGCCTCCGTCCTGGGCATTGGAACGAAGAATCTGAACGTGAAGTTTCATGCCGAGTACAGTACAACAGCTTTTCGGTCTCTCCGTACCTTTGACCTTCCCTAGGGTCCGGTTTTTGGTGGAACCCTCTCCTCATGATCCTCGAACTGACAGATCTAATATACATCTCTTGATTATAGATTTCCAGGAATGTGAGTTACCTGACAATGATCGCAAACAGGATATAGCTGACACCTACTTGCGTCTTGGCTCCCTTTCAATCAACAAGTCGAAGTGAAAGTAAAAGACAGTTTATTAACCCGTACTGTCGACGCATCTACAGGAGTTACAGTACTTTACCTAACTGATATACAAAAGAAATCCGCTCCATACTCGTCAGAACACATCCTTGACCTCCATTGCTGTGCACATAATTTCTGACGGGCAAGACCTTGCCATTGAGCTCGTCAAACTTTTTGGCTCTTTTATGACCCGCAACGCATATTTTTCTAGAATGAGTAAGCCTAAGTAGCCCAATCACGAGCAAAAAGTCAATTAAGGTGATAGAACCAGATTTAGAAGACAGGAATGAGTTAAGTCAACTCTTGATATCTGCATTTTCAAAGCAATTATTGGCTTATATTCTCTGGCTCGGAAGACATCTGAACACACTGTATCTAATCTGAATGAGACACTCAATCATGGATGAATTTTCATTTAATTTGGCCTTCTCGTGCCTTGCTTCTAGGTCGATCATTGCATCAATAAAAACCTGCTCCTGAGGAGGTACAGCTTTGCAACATTTTCCAGCAAGAGGAGCTTTCAGCTATTGCCTAAGCGTTGGAGACCCTGTTCTCGCTAAAGACATGGAATAATTCCAACACCGAGTTTCTTCATTTCTGTTCCTTTTGTAGAGATCTCAAGTAGCAAACCTTGACCTGAAGATACCCTCCACTTTCGAATAAGGAAATGACTTGCTTATAGGGCAATCAGGTTTACTGGGATTGGATCTCTCGTACTTCGATCATGGATTATGTGCTTCTTTCCGGACTTAGTCTTGCGCATCCTACACCAAGTCTTCCACTTTCAGCCTCTGGAACCGTCAAAATGATTAGTGCATCAGATTCATCAAATTCCCTACGTGAGCTCCTCTGACCTTTTCCTTCGCAGGTGGTAACAGTGAGCTCAGGCCGAAAATCCAGCTGAGTGAGGACTGAATGTTCACTGTCTCGTTTGATTCGTGGGCCTACAATGACTCGTTGAGGTGCTCATTCCATTCTCCAGAGACGTCATTGAGCTCCTTTCTGAGATCTCACACCAGAAGAGTGACAGAACAGCGATCATATGAGCAGGAGAAATAGATGGAAATTTCGTGAGCTGATAAAATTGTACCACCTCTCTCACACAGCATGTGCTGCTCTGTCCTTTCTCATTAGCCCCTCACCTTTAACCGACTTCCTTACACCACACGTAGGTTTGAAAGACTAGAGCGACAAAGACTCAGTGCTCTGCTGTGGACGTGGCCCTCGTCAGCTGAAGCGTCTTACTGCCACAGCTTCGTCTCATGCCCTTTCGTTCTAGAATAGTCTTTTCTCGACACTACATGACAAACCAGCTATAATAACATTGTTAAGCTTTCTTCGATCAATTATGCAGATTCTTCACTGATCTAACCAGCTATAATAACATTGTTAAGCTTTCTTCGATCAATTATGCAGATTCTTCACTGATCTAACCAGCTATAATAACATTGTTAAGCTTTCTTCGATCAATTATGCAGATTCTTCACTGATCTAACGCTGATGGAAGTGGCAGAAACTTTTATACACCAAGCACATGATCAGAGAATCTAATCCATCACGAAAAATGTGGCCACAGTATTGTTGTGAGCTACAGCTTTCTTATTCCAGCACTGTATTATCTTAGAGAAAAAGGGTCTCGTGATCCTGAGCTGCTGCATGCAGAAGATCCACCATCCCACGACCGAGAAAACTGCAAAGCACCATATATAATCTCAAAGGAAGAGTGCTATGCTACCACATCCACCGCCACAAGGAAGGTTCTGGTTCGAAATCAAAATTATTCCAGTACACTAGTCAGATATATGTTCGAGAAGTAATGACCACACAATTACTCTCAATTCAAAAGTTGAAAAGTGTGAACTTTTCTGCTCGCCAGGATGTCAACCAAGCTCTCGAGAACCCAATGAGTGCGGATAATGAAGCGGATAGCCTCAAGTGATAGTCGCAGCTGTGTAACGATCCATACTTAGAGCACTACTGCGCCACTGTGTTGGCGACTGGCAACTACGTTATGATTAACACCTAGGACGAATCCAGTCAAATCTGGTGCCTGGTAAGTCAAGATAGGACATGTATCTTCTCGTCATGCGTAGAAAAGAATGTCAACCTGGAAGGAAACGTTTGTTTGCTTTTTCTGCATCTTAAAGCCTAGTTCATGCCAGGTGGATAGAGAACTTTCAGAGCGAGGCTATTTACATCACTTTCAATATCTGTCAAGATGGTGTATGTCGTCGTACCGCCACATCTGGAGGCGGAGGGTCTTGCTTCCACGAGGAGCTTAGAATCTGCGACCGTTCTTATACTAATGTGCGCCATATCCATCGGCACAAGCTTACAGGATTCTCAAGTTGGATTGGATTATAACAAGAAGCAGAGTGAGAGCAGAGTGTGTTACAGCTTGATTGTTACACCGTTGTGATCCTTCTTCCTCCACCTACCCTGGAGTACAGTACACTAAGTTATTATGTGATCTAAGATGCTCCTCCATTCGGTCGTTGCTGCCATCACATCAACATGTTAGTTGTATCTACTCTCAACTGTACTATCACAAATCAACGCTGCAGCATCCTCAAAAGTGCTCACGGTTACATATGATTAAGTGCAGCGTTAGTTCTAATTCTACCTTACTTATGGGAAGCACGCCCAATTTCTATGCAGCTGTTGTATCAAGCGTTCCATCTCTAGATTTCCAAACAGGCCACTGTAAAGCATGAGCTTTACAGTTCTTCGTACAGTGACGGTTACCTGCGATCCTCTTTGTACATCCAAAGCTCTAGTCTCCCGTTCGTTTATTTCCTTGTGATGGGGTCTTCCATTTTGCTCACCCTGGGCATCCCCAACAGCGAGGGACAAGGACGTCCAAGCTACGACCCAGCACCATACGTTCTGGTCCTTCCCAAGGATGAGAGCGTGGAAGAGTTTTCGGGTGAGGAAATGATTTGTCTCGTGCTACAGAAATGATTTCCCTCCCTCAGATCCAATCTTACATCGAGGGGAGAATTTTCCGTCAGTCAACAATTTAACGAGAACAACACATTCATCGGAGTACATGTACTGCAGTCAGAAAACCAAAAAACCCAGTTTTGACCACATTGAAATCAGTAACTTGGAGATTTTCTTTAGTTTTCAGACACGAGAGCGGACAAGTGCAAAGAGTTGCCGATTGCATCATGAGTATGAGATTTGAACCGGATCCCTTCGCGACGTCAGATATTTGGACTAGAATTGACGATCCAGAGCTAGATGAAAATTTGATCGATGGGCCCGGAGCTTTGGGTGGAAGAGTGCACTAGACCAGATTCGGGCATGCGTATGTCACTTTTCTTGTCCATAAGGACACTGGATCAAACAAAAACGCTCAAATTGGAATCACTGACACTACATGCAGTAACGAAGGAAGCATGCATGAAACTCACAAGGACAAAACTTACACCCTAGGAAGAAAATATCCAGAAAGAGAAGCGGGCGGTGGACTCAATCAGAAAATAAAGGAGTTAGTCAGTGATGTCAAAAATTTGTTAATGGGAATGGGAAATGATCCAGCAATATGTTCAACAACATCACTCCACCATGTTCAACGAACGCGAGGGTCGGAACATCACTGGTAGAGACGGTAATCCCGTTCACTCCTCCAGTCACCTGGGGTCCGCTGCTCCCTCGAGTAACCGGGAAACCGGGAACGGGGGGAGCGATGGATAGATAGGTCGGTAGGTCAGGCCGTGAAATGAGGGGCTAGCGGACGCTAGCACCCGCCCCGTGACACCCTGCGGTAGCAGTAACGGTCGTTCGTCAAACCCCCCCTTCTTTCCCCCATCCGGTCCGCCGAATTGGGAGGCACCTACAGCTGACCGGGGACTGACCGACTGACCGACTGACAGACGAGACAGAGTTCGGCGAGGACGTGCACCGGATATGGCAGATCAGCACTGCGGGCGAGGCCAAAGATGGAGACGAGGACCCGACATCTTGCCGGCGTTCCGGAAATGGCGACCTCGAAATTTGACAGACAGCGAGAGACAGACAGAGCGCTACTTCGATGGAGCGGCGAGTCCGAGAATGGCGTAGCGGAGAATCCTAGAACTCTGAACGAAATCAGAATCTGCGGATCGATTGCCTCCATCGTCTCTTGCCCCTGCCTGCCTTGACACTCGGAAGGGGCAGACGGTGCGCGAAGAGTTCCAGTCAGAGTAGAGAGTCGTGACGCTCACTGCAGCTCGTTGGCACTCCGGCGATTTGGAAGTTAGCGGCAGAGGGCGCGATGCAGGGTCAAAGTACGGTGGGTCTATAAAGTGGCGATGGCACTCGAAGATCGTCAGACAGACTCTCCTGTCTCTGTCTGAAGGTGCTGCTGATTTTACCGTGGTGGTAAAGTCTGAGAGGGCCATCCAGCTCAGCTCAATTCGTTTCGACTCAATCCAGTTCGATTCGGAACACTCGAACTCTCGACTTCGTCGTATCCGATCCGCTGAAGCGGTGACTGTACAGAGAGTTGCGAGCAGGAGCAGGGGCATCGGTAACATGAGGAGCAGCAGCCACAGCAACAGCACCAGCGGAATTCACAGAGAGCAGCAGCAGCTGCTGCTGCAGTCGGGACTATCTTTTCGAGGATTGACCGAGTGAGTGATGGGCGTGTGCACGATTCGGGAAACAAAAAAGTTTTAGAGAGACGGAAAAAATAAAGATTTCAGATCGCGTAGAGACGTGGAAACGAAGCAAAGCTCGAGGTCTGCGACATTTGACGAAACTTCGATCATACCCCCGGCCGCTGCTTCAGGCAGTCGTACTCCCGGAATCCGTTTTGACTCGGGGACTTGTTCTCTGCCTCTGATTCTGCCACTTCTCTAATCCCACCTCTCGAGGAGGCTCGGCCAATTCGGGCAGGTCAAGCTTCGGTCAATTCTTTGGTCATAAGTCTCTCGGTTGAAGCCACGTTCCTCGGTTGCTGAGACTCAGACGCCCAGAGTGGTGGAGCAGGGCAGAGCGAGAGATGTGGAAGCAGGGGATGATGAGCTCCCGCTCTCAGTTACCGTGTAGGAGGGAATTCAAGGAGAGCAGGTGCTGCAGGTGCGTAGTCCGAGTCTTGGCAACTTTCAGACGAGGATGATGATGATGGCCGCCTTCACGCTTCTGGCACTGAGTGTCCAGAGCAGAGCGCAGTCAAGCTGAGACACCGAGGGCTGCCCTTTTCAGTGCTAGGAAATCTGCTGAGGAATTCTCCTCTCGGCGGATGATACCTGACCGAGCATGCTTTCCCTCGGCGTCGCCGTCGTCTTCTCCTCGGTTTCTTGCTCGTTCTGGTGATTTCGGAGCTGCAATTGCCCTCCAGATGACCATTCTTTTACCCGACTAGTCTATCAGTGTTACAAGGTCGATCGGACTGTGTAATTGTGTTCCGAGGGCCGTGACTCGAAGTTTAAGATGATTCGGAAGTTTAGAGAGTTGAGAGACGGGGAGGGAGGAGGAGGTGGAGCTGGTGCCGATGCTGAAGATGTCGACGATCGAACGGAGCTTAAATGGAAGAGCAGGCGAAGCAAAGCGTATCCGATGGCCTTGCTTCTGGTGTTCACCCTGGTGGTTGGAGTGACTATATTGATGAATTTTCACAGCCCTTTTGCTTCCATTCGGCCGTGTAAGTCCCCTCACTGATGATCATCTGTGATCGAAAGTTCCCACAAACTTCCGCATTATTCCGTATCACAAGCTTTTAGTCACTCTAATATACTATTTCGAGTGGCAGAAACCCAGAGTGTCGTGAGCTTCTCCGTACTTTAGACAAGAAGTCTTGATCAATGGAAAGGATAGAGCTTGTTTTTTCTAGAGGAAGTGAGAATTTATTCCTTAGTTTTCTCCTAAGGAACCACCACAGCTACCGTAAAGTTGTGTTTGCATGCTACGAGCTAGGCTTAGTTGAGGTTTGTAGCGAAACCGATTTGTTTTGGTGAGCAGGGAGGAACACGGGGAATAGCCATTGAATTCGGTTTCAACTCGGAATGCAGACACTGAAGAGGAAAGACATCATGTAGATAAAGTTTTGGGGCGAGAGACCGATCAACAGCTGTCTACCACTTTTATTCGCGAACACCCATATGACTCAAATGGAAAAGGTTAGTATTTTGATCCACGTTTGCTTCATCTCCCAGGCATTTCACCCTGTCGCCTGACATGAGTCACCACTTCTCAAGCCGAAAGGATTGTCGATAAGTACAAGGTCAGAAACTTATCCGTTAGAAAAGATCTGAGATTGATAATGGTAATGGTTCGATTTTGGTTTGGTGGAAGAATATCGATTCCAACCTCATCTTGAACATATACTCCCGTAGGTTCTCATCCCTGAATAGACCTTGATTCAGGGATGGGAAAGGTGATCTGGGCTCTGAGAATCCTTCAGTTGAATTCATTTTTGTTTACAAGGGCCAGCCTAGGTCGAGCCAGCAAAAATGCATGCAAAGTGGCAGAGAGGTCTGCTCACACTTGGTGTTGTCCATATTGCCAAATCATTCCCGGGCATTTTTCTGACATAGATCGCTGCCTGTTTCCTCTATTTTGATTAATTCAAATTGAGCAGAGTTGCACATAGAGAGGTAAACCAAAGGGTCTTCTTCTATGTGCAAGTCTGCTCATTTAAAAATAAGCCTCGCTTCTATTCTATAGAGACAGTATCTGGTGTCGTTCATGTGTTGTATTACTGTTCTCTGTCCTGTATGCCATACAAGGCTACCTTCATCTAAGGCTATCCATTGACCTCAAAGCAGATCCGTATCATTTTGGAGGTGTGTTTGTCTCTCGGGAACAAGCTCATTCGGCCCAGATTTATCTACAGCTTTGCTCCTACTGCCCCTGCGGGTCGTAAAAGTTTCTGGGTTTTTGGAACAGTTGATACGTTCTCATGCCAGATTCTTCTCTTTCTTCTCGCTTGTATGACCTGCGGTAGAGTCCTTCTCTTTGCAGTAGCAGATGAATCATTACAACCTTTACTCGCTATTATTTCATCTGCTTTAACTTATTCTGTAACAAAAAATAGCAAATGTAAACAAGTTTTTTTCAAACGATACATTATCCGAAGACTGTACCCTACTAATTCGCTCCCAGCTTCTCTCACCACATTTTACGTCCGGACAATAATATTACCCTGTAATACGGACTGCTGTAATCTTCGACTGACTTTAGCTTGCGCTGGATTTGTATACATACTTGCCATTATTGCAAAAGTTAGGCTGAGGTAATTCCACAGTCCGTATTACAGGGTAATTTTTTTGTAATCCGGAACTCACCTTAGAGAAACCAAGACTTCAGTATTCATGTGGAACCTTCGAGTAATCTTTCTGACCTAGTTGACGAACGAAGAACTCGTCATCGACGAAGTAGACCAAAATTCTGTAGGAAATACGTTTCATCTAGACCATGCTGGTTTTTGACTTCTCGTTACTGCGCACTAGGCCCTTCGGACGCAGTTTCTAGAGCTTTAGAGCCAGACCTCCACGATCATGCTGATGTTTATTTGTGCTAAGATGCGAAACTACGATCTCGAATGTGTTTTTTTAATCATTATGAAACTTTGTTTGAGTACCGGTTGTGTTTTTCTTCGTAAACTTAAAGAGTTTAGGCATGACAAACCTAGGCATGCAATGTGAGTCTTGTACCATTTCCTTCTCTGTCTGTACTAAGGTGCACTTACACGACCCCTACATCTCCATAGAGCGCTTCTTCATGCATATCGAAACCATCTGGCGCGCAATATACTTTCAGTATAGTTGGGGGAATGGTGCTTAATTGTCTCTGTAATTTCTGATTTATGTCATGATATCCACTCCACAGTTGGGTATGTGGAAACATTCAGGGTTGTGACGAATCAACCATGAAGTGGATTCAAAATTTTTCCAGTCTTTTGGTAGAGCCAAAGCAGATTAGACAACTGTATAATGCTGACCTTCTTCCTACCTTCAGCTAACAAGTCACATATTTTACATAGCCCTACCTCCTTCTGATTATTGATTTCCCGTTAATCGAAGATATACACTCGTATATGTCGTGCTGGATTATTCGAGACTTTTGGAATTGTATCTCCACTACTGTGTAGCATCGGGGTGGCCACTTTCAAGAGCCTTTGGTGAGGGAGAGATGCTATGAAAAGCCAAAACTACAACGACCACAATCACCCCCACCTCGACAGAAATCAACCCGTTTAATACGCATCATTTATATGTTTTTCTTGCTGTTGATACCAAATGTTTTTCAGCTCCTCTTAGTTCTCGTGTGCTTTTGCGGGCATGTCGAAGTAGCTAACATTCCTCCCTATGGCAGAACTATCGACCTGGCCGAGTCACTGGCAGAAGATGTTGCCGGGAAGTGTACAGCACGAGGTTTTCTATTGCGATCGGACGCACATTCGCACTGATGTATGTCGCCTTCACGGGAATGTACATCTCGAGCAGAGTGGTACATTTGTGCTACATTCCGTAGACGACACTACGCCTTTGAAAATGTTGACTGTCAAACCTTACACGAGAAAATGGGAGAAGCTATGCATGGATAAAGTTAGTGAGGTGAGATTGGTGAGTGTACGATCGTCAGGCAATGGGAGCAGGGTTTGCGACATGTGGCATTCTCTTCCAGCCGTAGTCTTCTCAACTGGCGGCTATACTGGCAACGTGTACCACGAGTTTCACGACGGGCTCATTCCCCTGTATATCACTACACAGCACTTGAAACGAGAAGTTGTATTCGTCATATCTGACTATCATCCCTGGTGGTTCCAGAAGTATGCGGAAGTCATAAAGCAGCTTACGAAGTATGAGATCCTCGACCTTGCCAACCTTACGGAGTCGCATTGCTTCTTGGATGTTACAGCAGGCCTCTTTATCCACGAAGAGTTGAGTATCATTCCTTCTATCATGCCAAAGCAGAAATCTATTCGAGACTTCAGGGCACTTCTGGGCAGAGCATATCATGGAAACCTTTCGTGGTCAGCTGAGGACATTACGACTTTCAGACCAGTTCGGGGCAAGCAAACAGGGGTCATGCCGGAACTGGTCATAATCGTGAGAGAGGGCAGCCGAGTTCTTCTCAACTTGGACAAGATTGTGAAACTGGCCATACAGGTTGGGTTCAATGTTGTGATCTTGAAACCCGATCCTACGACCGAGTTGAAGAAGCTATTCTGGGTCCTGAACAGAGCTGATGTGATGATGGGTGTCCACGGAGCCGCGATGACGCACTTCCTCTTCATGAGACCAGGGACAGTTTTCATTCAGGTTGTTCCTCTGGGTACTGACTGGGCAGCTTACACCTATTTCGGAGAGCCTGCAGAGAAGATGGGCCTGCAATATTTGCCCTACAAAATCACGCCCGAAGAGAGTTCCCTATATAAGAAATATGGAAAGGACGATCCTGTGCTGACAGATCCATATGCCGTCGGCCAACAGGGTTGGGGAACCATCAAGGAGATATACCTGGAGGGCCAAGACGTGGAATTGTCTTTACCTCGATTTCAGAAAACACTCGAAGAGGCTAAGCGTAAGTCTAAGCCTCAAAATTTGCCTGTCTCGGATGTTTTAGCTTCGATTTAGACGTGCTGCGGAGAAATAAATTCGAATTGAAGGATCGCAGAGGTTCAAGTAAAAGCACGTTGCTGCTGCGTTTATGATGATGATCTTCATCGTATCCTGCTATACCACCTCTTCCCGCACCTTTGCCTGGTTGTAGCAATATCTCTCGTTGTGTTTAAAATACTTTCTCTGCCGTGTAGCTAGAGATGCAATTGTTCCTTGAGCCCTGTAGAATAGTAGTGTAGATATGTGTTCGACATCAGATCGTTCTTCCGAATTGTAGGTGCACCAGCCATCTTTGTTAGTATCACCTAGAGAAACGAACTACTACAGTTCAAACGTCTTGGTCTCTGATCTGAAAATATAGAAAGACTGCGGAAGAACTGGATTTAGAGTTACTTTGGGGCTGGTTATTCCACCCACTCACCGAAAAGCGAAAAAATTGCGACGGAATTATTTTGGGACCCAACTACTGGGGTCAACGGCAATAAACTGACGCTCGAGCTGAATAGCTTGGAGCACTTAGAAAGAGATTTCCTTCGCGCCATGTCTCTACACCAGTTTGGTGGCGAGTTTTTCATCGTGGTTGCTAATATAGTTATTAAGTAAATTCCTATCGTCTTATCTGAAACACTACCTACACTTCTCGAGCGCCTTACAACTTCATTAGAATGACATTGCACTCTCTGATGATGACCTCATTCTACACGCAAGGGCATACAAGCTCATGTGCACATTCCATATGTCCAGGCCTGGTTGGTTAACGCGTGCGCCTTAATTTCCTACACTGGCTTAACTAAGTCTCGTCATGGGACCTCAATTTAGGCTTATTTAAGTTGGGATGTAAATGTAGGCTTTATGAGTCTTTGAGAATGCCAATCAGGTCTGAAACTGCCCGATGAAACTCCACTGCTCGCATCATTCCCTCCTAACCAAAATCCGACATAATCTTGCGGAGTCCGTACTTGTTCCAATGAAGAATCGAGAAATCGAGTCAGATTTCTCGAGAAATCTGACTCGACCGTTCGGGTTCCAGCAAATAGGTTGCGATCGCGCCTCGGAATACCATTAGGGTCGCGAATTGAGAACCGAGCAAACTCCATCCGTCATTGAACGGTGATTGACTAATGAGTGCATCAATGTTTGAGTACATCAGTAGGCATAGTCCAGTTGCTTGTGCTCGTTGGCGATAGAGTCAAAAATGATAGTAAAAATATTTCTGCTCCAAGCCGTAGTTGTAAAGGTGCTCGTCCGACCGCAAAGTTAGAAATGATTAGTATTGACCAAGTAGAAGTTGTTTTCATTGCGAAAGATGAATTAATCGCGTTAACAATTTGTGTATTTGTTAGAGTTATTTGTCACGTCATTCATCCACTATATGTGTAATTGATGATAAAGATAAGATCTAATTTCATTTTTTTTGATAAAAACAATATAAAGAAGAGAAATATCATTATTGGTATCTTTATCTTTAGAATTTATATTTTTATCTTTGGATGAACTTCTCTTTAAATCTTAATGTTAAAAATTATCATCTTGGGTGTGAAATAATTCATAGCAAGAAAAAATAATCATAAGCGAGATGGTGCTAAAAGTAACTAGCTCCATATCCCTAAACAACTATGACCAATAAATCTTGAATCATTTAATGACATTCTTCGTGAATAGCCATCAATAAACAACACTCAAATTAGTTGTCTTTATGTACGCGATGAGATTTTGCTATCATGTAAAGTGTATGATAAATCTTGTCATGGCAAATATACACTTGTTATGCATTGCATTCTTGAGTCGAATGACAACACTAGTAACATGATCAATCATGATACGGGCACCATCGGAAGACATACCAAGAAGATGAATTTTTCAAATGGATGAAGAATGTCAAAGAAAGATAATTTTTTGTAGAATATAACATTACCATTATGTCGATCAAGTATCGGAAGCATCATTGCATGCAAGTGAACAATGTCATAAACGATCGGCTTGAAGAGTCAAAAGCGAACAGCTAGATACAACGTGCTAGGGTGTGTGGCGCAATTCAAAGCAATTGAGAATCCCCATGCATGGCGAGCAATGCGTTGCAAATTGAGTGCATACATAACTCTAATGTAATTGGAAACATCTGAGCGAGAGCAATCCCAAAGAAAAGGTTAGTGCAAACAATCAAATGTTGCGCTAAGTATGTTGATACCCAGTCAAAATGGCGCGCGGATTGAAACATAGCGTATAGCCAATTGAAACATGGTCATTTTTGACTTTGGGATCGTGATCTAATAAGCGTAACTAGCAATACTCCACTTCGTGATTCACAAAACGAAACAATGGCATTACACAATACTTTGGCAGTGCGAACTTTTGACTACGTTGATGATGTATAACATCGCGCTTAACGTCACGGCCGAATACATCCCTTGACTCAATGTCATCCTCATCGTTGTTGATAAAGTAGACAGACTCGAACTTCATATCGAACACGATCACGTCAAAACACGAAGACGGGATATGCGTTTTGATAGAGTTCTTGAACGCAACCGAGGCATTGTCAAAGAATGCTTGGCGGTCATCAACCAAATCCAAGAACTTGTATTTGACATACTTGGCAGGGTGGACTGAGATGAATTTTAATATTGTCGTAACAGAAATAGCGAGTCCATCCTTGAATAGCAGTCGTAGGTTGGGGCTTTGCGCCAACTTTCTGTTCACGGCAGAAAGCAATATAAACACAATGTTGTAGTCCGATGACCTGATGCATACCCTAAGTCGAAAGCAAATGTCATTCGCCATTAGAACTAGAACTCATTAGAGACAGTATAACAAGTAGCACAACAAGCAATGGTGCTCCTAGTACCACGCAATTCCTTAATTAAGGCTCTCTTACGGGGTTCGTGTAGGATCTCCAACCGACTTAACTTACCAAGCAGGCATATGTCTTTTGAGGATTTTATTTTTTATGGGCGTACAACACTTCTTGACATTTCTAACAGCTTGTTACATACCATAGATTTCTCTTCCAAATCCACAAGGATGTTGATCATGTTCTTCAATCTCTCCAATTCGTTTGTACAACTTGCCTAACGTATAAACAAAGGGCAGATCCAGATTGAACCTGCCCGAAGAGTACTTACACCTAAGCCCCGTAAAAGTTATAAATAGCTCGACGTCGCTACGCCTCAACTTCGTTGCATTGGATAAAATGACATTGCGAACATTCGTCCATCAAATCCTCAACCTAGCCAGTTTCTTCACATCGGCTTTGCGTAGATTTTACTGCCAACGGTATTGCCAGTTCCCCACCTCGACGCACTTCAACTCCCCTGCTGTGAATTTTCCAAATCTTCCGCTAGGCCAACTTCTTTGTCTTCGCCTCATCCGCCTCAACCTTCTATTTTCCGAACGCTCCACATACTAAACCCGAAACCCTAGAATCTTAAACTCTCAATCGCTTAGTCCTTCCTCCCTGTTACGGTGTAGTTCATGTAACTGTCTACTTGAGATTAAGTGTTAATAACGGTGTTGTACCCTTGAAAGAGGTCTTTCTCCGCTTTGAGAATGGCAGTTTTTCTGTTAAGCTTAGCTTAGCTTCACTCTCGTTCCATCTGTCTATACTACAATATCCTGAACATAAATCTGAATGCCTAATTCTTCAGCTTTCATCTTCAGCTTCAGAACACGGGACCTCATTTCACTTCCCTCCTCAGACATTAAAAGCCTCAACCCCTTCTCCAACTCCACGCGTGAAACGGGAGGTGTGACAAATGGGGTCGTGGTTTGCTCACCGTTGGTTTTTTAAGAAGTTAGGGTCTGGACCCCGACTTCGACAGCGATTTTCAGCACATCTACCAGGTGCTGGCAGTTGATAAATTGATCGTTATTCATCTGAGGCCAAGCGATCATCGGCACGCCGGAAAGTATGCTTTCCAGGACAGAGTTCCAGCCGCGATGAGTCACAAAGCCTCCGATCGAAGGATGAGCTAAAATTTGTTGTTGTGGTACCCACCCATCGACGATCATTCCTCTACCTGACGTTCGTGCTCGAAAATTTGGAGGCAGAAGTTCTTCCAAGTTGGAGAACGCTTCATCACTTACGCCTCGTGAAAGAGCCCAAAGGAAACTTTGGTCACTAGCATCCAGAGCGAGAGCCAATTCGCTCATCTGTACGGGACTGAAGCGCGTCAGGCTGCCAAAGCAGATGTACACCACTGATCGAGCCGGTCGACTGTCGAGCCATTGCATGCAATCTCTTCCTCGATCATCGGGCTTCCCCGCGAAGGGCATGCCCTTGACTTGGGCAGTAGCCGAAACAGGCCCAATGAGGAATAACTTGCGGACCTTCCCTGGAGAGTCTTATTCCCAGTTCTGACGTATTGCGTCGATCGGCGGTGCCTCCAGCTCGTAGAATGTGCTGACGATAAAGCCATCTGCTTCCTCCGTTCTGTTTACCATCTCCAGCATGACTTCTCCACCGAAGCTGCGTAACTGCATCACCTCTTCCCACCGAAGGGATGGAATGCCACGTAATTCCAGACGGCCCTCAAATTGTGCTACCTCCTTGAAATCCTTTCGCGTAGGTTCCTGTTCCAGGGTCAAAGTGCCATCAGCAAAGAGCCGACGATAGCTTGTAGGACTGCAGACCAGTTTGCCCCGCAGCTGAAGAACTGGTAGTGAGGGAGATTCAACTCGTGGGCGGCATCGTGCGCAAAGGACAGAATCCGGTCGGAGATGATGCAGGTAGGTCCAGGAAGCCCTGCCTTCTGATCAGCCACCAACTTCTGTAAGATTGGCTGAAAGAATTTCCTCGCATTGAGCACCCACGTGAAGGGATTGGATCTATCGGTGGTGTCTGCGGAAGCTTCACAGGGTTGGAAATCCTCATAAACGAGCAGATTGAAGTCAAGTTGCTGCACTTGATCCAGCTCCGTAAGCTTGGCAATATCCATGGCTCGACTCACAAAAGTGATAGTCACACCCCTCCTCGCAAGCTCTACCGCATGCCTGAAAATATTCACCATATGAGCTTGCAAGCACACGGGAATCACCAGAGCATGCTTGCTGCCCTTGCGGGGACTCGCAATCGAGTCGATTCCCATATTCGCGGGAACTGATGCGAGTGGCATCGCTTCGAGCTCCTTCAGCTCGGCTGCTCTGTTCTAAAATCTATGCCGCGCAGTCAAATCCCGAAGCCAAATCTTCGAGAAATCACTTTGGTTTAAGCAAGTACGGGTGCAAACTAGCCACGAAATGTGACTACGGATGCACAGATCAGAAAAATCGCAGAGGTTTTGCTCCAATTTCGAGAAGAGGATCTGGAACTGCGCCTAGACACATTTTGGAACTTAGACTCTCTCTATGACTTCGGTTGACGTGAGACCAGCATTCAGGCAGTTGCTGTTGACTGACTCGTCGACAGTAATGTAGAGTACTCGCATCCATTTGCTAGAACTGCGGCTGATAGGATGGATACAGTCGTAGCTGGAATAACATACATACATGTGCTGTCAGGACGAACGAAGTGTGTAAAGTGAGTGGCCAACTGGCCCAGTGATCTCATTTACAGCCTCATTTTCTCGACCGCGTTTTCACAATCTGTAGACCCTTCCTGGGCTAAGGGGGCGTGCCCCCTAGCCCCCGCCTTAGCTCCGCCACTGTGTGTACCCATTGTGATGAGAAGTACAAGTACTCTGCAGCTCACACAAATGTTCCTCTGTAAAAATCAAATCACGGTTACAACTTTCCTCTAGCTCATACATCAATGCACACACGAAACAAAAACACGGGACTTCTTTGGTAAAGTCACCTGCACTCTGGGATTGAGATACATTTGTTGGACTAACCATATTTGTAGTGAAAACGCAATTCTTCGAAGGATGATTTCCCAAAATAATCCACGGTATTTTTATGAAAACAGAACGTTATTACAATCGAAGAATAGAAAAACACTTTCTTCTTGAAGAATATAATTATTAAGATCCTACATTGAGCTCTGAAAAAAGACACGATTATGCCAGAGTGTAAACACGCTGTCACACAGTCATTGATATGATTTTGTTTATTATACAAGACAATAATTCACAGTAATGCATTGTCTTATTCATGAGAGCAAGTGGACAGTCAACATTGAAGAAATACGGCTCTTCTTTTCTTCCTACGGCTAATATGTGTTACACGTCATCGTTAGCTACGTACAGAGTTATGAAATGGAATTTATCACTCAGTTGGTAGATCTGAATGATGAACGGCGAGCGAAAAAAAGAATCCGGCAATAATTTTTCGTTACTGTATTCTGTGACATTGTTTCCTTTTTCCCGTTAAGGCAATAGAGTGAGGTCAGGATGAATCCCACAAGATCTCTTCGTACGAGTGAATTTCACTTATGTTTATATCTCCATCATGTGTGCTCCCAATCGAAAAGATCTGTCAGCGAAAATATCCTGTCCATCACGAAGAGAATTCACTCTCAAAGCAGACGGAAATTTTTGCATTATTTGTAACAAATGTGATCATATCGATAAATCGATGCGTTCGAGCACAAATCAGCGCACGGTAAATTCCCATCTATCGACCCTCTCTGTTTCACGAAGTCAACAGCGGACCTTACCTTTATGAAGGAACTTACGGAGTTGATTACTGAATATATACTGTGGTGGTTCACTTGCCAAACTTGTAGTATATATATCAGAGAGATTTGCTTGATGGGAACACTGCGGAAAGTCATTTGCTTGATGGGACCTTCAGGTTTCATTTTGCCCGATGGGACCCCATGAACCATGCAACATCACACATTATAATCGGGGATCGATTTCTGATTGTAATCCCCGCATTGTAACTAGTAGTAACTGTAATTACAAGAACTATGTCCGACGGCACACCGTCGTTGGGATCCCATCGGGTAAAACTAAACATCAAGCAAATTACTTTCCGCATTGGTCCCATCAAGCAAATCTCTCTACATATCACCACTAAACATTGTACGAAGTCGCAAGGGCAGTCAGTTGATACCTTTTGTATATTTATCTTCACGATTGTGTGTTCATGGACGAGGAGCGATTCTGGGATGTACGAGGATTAAGCCACGAGAGAAACTACTTTAATGCATAAGGATATGTTTGATGTACATAGAGCTCGAATTTTTTGGGTTTTATCTGAGATCACAATCCACTGTAGAAACTGCACGAAGAAAAAACAGGAGGGTCAATTAAATGCTATTGTAGCTCACAGTGATCATTTTGAGATTTTCTGATCTTCATGAAGATAAGAAAATTACAGAAAGCTTTGCCCACTGTCTATGCCTGCTATTCCCTAGATCATATCCATTTGTCAGATTTCAACGGTCCCTCTCCACTTTGTCTCAGATCTATATACTGAAGTATAAGTAAAATTAGCAACATCACTTGCAAATAAAATATCTTGGAAGAGAAATGTCTGGAGAGAATTCTTGAACTCTTAAATTCTTCTGTGATCACCACACGGCGAGCACACGGAGCGAGAGTACGCGAGTGTGTTTGGTCAGTCGAAACCAGTGCACGAAAAGCTGCCCGTGATTTTCTTCTGTCATGAGCCATGCGTCGATATTTGTGAACGGAATGTGTTCACTGATCGTGTTGGAGAACTGTCGACAAGAACCAATACATCGGTACCCCACGGGTTAGGACGTGGAGCAGGCAATTGGGCGAGCTCTTCTCGTAGAAATTCGATGAATGTAAAAATTGCTGTTTTTTCTAAAGTCTCAATGCTTATTGCGCACCCCGCAAAAATGTATGGAAAGAACATTCCTGGCAATTGTAGTATGTATCGTCAAAATTCATATGCTCTACCTGGAAGATGGTTACAAAAGTTTGCAGGTAGACACAAATGTTTCCTAGTCATCAATGCACCGTTTCTGTTGGAACTCCTTGCTCATCACTTTTCCTTTGTACTTGATTACATTCGCTTGAGCATGAGTCTTGTATTCGAACACCCAATTTGAGATAATCACGTTCTTCTCATGTGGTTAACGCACTAGATCCTAGGTGTCGTTTCCTGTAGTCACCTGATTTCATCTTCAGGAGCAAGTCGCCACATAGCTGCCGTAAGAGGCGGACTTGTCTGGATAGCACGATCTGAGCTTCTTTTGTATCAAGTGCATTGTTTTCCGTTCTTCTTCTAGTGGCGCCTTGTTCTTTTCTTCAAAATGCAAGAGGGCATCCAAAGTTTTTTTGGTGGCTATTCTAGCATTTTTCCTTGCTGTCGATTCTACTCTTCAAACTCCAAGTCACCGTGGTTCCTTTTTAAGCCTTGTGGAGTACCTTACCAACTCAATTTTGTCATCTGGGTTGTTGGGTTTGATATCTCTACAGGCTTTTGGTTAGCTTCTAGTTGAGTAGCTCCCATGGCTTCCGGAACAGCTTGACTCTCACTTATGCTCTTGATTGATTCTTCAAGATCAAGTCCAAGAGGAGCTCTCGGGAGCACAAACCTTGATTGTTTATCAAACTTCACGTCTTGGGAAGTCACAATCTTCTTGCTAAATTTTAGAAGTATCTTGTCTCCCTTGCAACCTTCTTCAAAAACATCCCTTGTTGTGCTTTAGCTTCCAGCTTGTTTTGGTTTTTGCGGGGATATGAACGTAGCACCTTGAGCCAAAAGCTCGCAATTTGTTCACGTCAGGCTTGACGCTAGTGAACACTTCATAGGCGATCTTGTGATGCACCAAATAGTAGGTCCGGTTGTTGCAAATGCTTCCGTAAGTCCGGCATTCTGCCCAGAAGCTCAAATGTAGATCATGATTGGCCAGCATACATCTTGTTCTCTCATTCATTGTGTTATTAAATCTTCGACTGCATCATTCTGCTGCGGTGAATAGACATTTGTTTCCTTGAGCGTGATTCATTTTTCTTTGAACCATTTGACTACATATTTGTTCACATAATCCAACTTGCTTGTAGATTTGTCTCTCCATTCTTGTGTAAACCACCTTCATCACCTCCAAGACTTGATACTTTTGCTTGATTGGCACAACCTTGCTTAGTCTCAAAAGGTTTGTCAACAAAGGTTACGACATATCTATAGCCTGCAAGGAAGTAATTGGGCATAGATACAACAACATCTATATGTATGAGCTTCTATGAATTCTTTGCTCCTGTCTTGAAGCTGAGAAAGTGATCTCTCTTCATCATCCCCAATATGCAAGGATCGCAAAGCTCCCCCTTTAGTTTCAAAAAATCTTCTGCTGTTGACCCCTTGCCAAGGGGTCAACTGCAAAAGCAATTGTAACAAATCTATCAAGGTAAAAATGTTACAATCGTTTGTGGCACAAACGATTGTCTGTTCTTTTGCCAATGCCATATAGCTCTTTTGTGCATGGGGAGTAATATGGTTGATGACATAGACTACTCTCTTCAGATGGATTTGAACAAGGATAGTGCCGGAGTCCTTGATCTTCACGGCATCAATTGCGTTATCAAACTCTGTTCTGCAGCCTTTCTTTGCAACTTTGCAAGTTAAAAAGAACCTCAATCTCATTCTTGAAATCAAATATACGTCTGTCAACAAAGTTGAAAAGATACATCCGGAGTTTTCATGTTGCCTATAGCAACAGCATCCTAGCAAGTTCCATTTCCAAACTCGATTGGCTCAGAACCTTTGAGATCAATGAACGTGTTGAATTGATCAAGTATCCCAGTGTAATAACCCACTAAAGGCTAAAACTGCAATATAGTGGTAGAAAGGTCGAACCCACAAGGACAGAGGAACACACAGGGTACAAAGTGTCACGTTTAACAGACTATTGAGGAGTTTGAATTCTCAGGCGACTGTCACTCCCAGAAATACTGCAAGTGTCCACTCGGAGCGCACTCGGAGGTCGCACAGTGCAGCGTAACACACACACACAAACACACACACCTGAAACTACAGAAATACAACCCAGAGATCCGTTAGTACCTCTACTCAAGATTTTAGGGGGAAAGTCTCTCAAGAGTGCACCCAGCGAAGCTGCGGGTAGTGACTTCCAACTCCGGCTTTTACAACACTTCCACTAGCTTGCTGCTAGTGTAGGAAACCCAGTTTGGACTGCCTACTTCGGATCGAAGTCACTCATACGCGGTGAACA